GTTGGGGGAAGTAGGAGGGGGAGTTTGCACACGGTGACTTTAAAGTCGTCTTCAAAACTTTGGTCCAGTTAAAAGTGGATGCAGTTGTGAGTTATACAGGTTGCAAAATCTATTACTATTTAGGAAGTTTTTAGACTAAGTTTTCTTTAGAAGATCTTGTGGCTCTATGAACTTCTCTCTACAGCATTCAGACAGGAAACAGGAAATGAAAAGGGGGGAAGACATGCAAATAAGATGGCAGTTCTGGAATCTGCAAAACAGCTAATTTAGTCTTTACCAGCTCCTTCTTTCCCTGTTGGAAAAGCATCAGCACACCATGATGCTGCTATGATGCATTCATGTATGTTTAGCACTGCAACACATATTAACCAAATAAAGGGAGTTTAAGTTTATTAATTCAAAAGAAGTCTCTTAAGGGGGAAAAATAACCTCTTAAAATGTCTACATGTCAGTGAAGCTACAAATCCAGAGAGAAAAACATACATGTAGCAGTTTATCTAAAATCGAAGCTTTTAAAACAAAAACCCCATTCTCTGCTTTTACTTGCAAACCCTTTTAAGATGTCAAAAGCTAAAGTGGAACAAAAAGAAGGCAATTTGAAAGCGTTCAGGGTTTCTTTCCTGTCTAACGCCGCTTTTCCTCAATATTTTTATTTTCTTTTTTTTCCAAATACTGCTGCTGCAAAGGTAGCCTTGAGATAATCGAAACCTTCCCACACTGTGGAGCACTGACTCCTCTGAACTAACACAGCCATGCTGTGCACTAGATCACTGTATTGGATTTCTATATAATTAAAGCCAGCGGGGGACAAGGTAAGGTAGAAATTTTAAGTGGAAGATGTGCAGGAACTATAGTGAATAAATAGCCGCCCTCATCAGGTGAACAAGCTCTAATGTGTTTCACTCAATTTAGCCAATGGAGTTAGCCCATTGCTATTTCCTATTATGTTATCTGTCACTGGCCCTACATTGCATTTGCCTTGAAGAACAGGCAAGGCAGAGTCATTTGGCAGCGCTAATCAATACTGTTCACTCTGCGCGAAGGCCGTATCAATTTCCAGGCACTGCCTTGAATAAGAGGTGAGAAGGAATTTGGCTTATTCATTACCTGCATTTCAGATTTTTATTTTTTTGTATTTGAACTCTGAAAAGTGTTTTCAGGCAGCTGCAATTAATTTCCTAGTAAATCAGTTTGCCCTCCGCCATCGCTCCAAGAATGCTGCTAAATTGTTAGCTGTGCAATCACAAGCAAAGAGATTTCATTCCTTTTTTTTTCATGGTTGTCTCAGTTTTGCCCTGGCAGCTTGTCTTGTTGAATAATAAAGGTTTGAATGCAGAGGGAGGCCTGTCGGTGAATAATAAACGATTCAGTGTTAGCACAAGCTCATATAGGAACCCTCTTGCCTTCATGATATACTGCCAGAATGCATCTAGTCTGTTTTGGATACACTAAACTCTCAGGACACTCGGCTTAAAGCGGTGGCCGGGATGCAGCTCTCTCATTCTTTATCTCTGACCTGGTGAAGGGAGCATCCATCCATCATGATGCTGCTCCCTCTGTGAAGACAAATTTGCCTTTCCTTCTTTGCAGTTACAATTCAGTCTCATTTGACCAGAGAACTGTCGCTCTCTCCCCATTAACGGCTGGGTCAAACTAAACTTTTAAGTTTTTTTTTTTTCTTTAAATGAATTTCTTCTTGCCGTTGTTCCGTAAAGGCCAAATTTGTGGAGTGGATGACTATTGGCTGTCCTATCGACAGATTCACTCATCCCAGCAGTGGATCTCTGCAGCTCTCCAGAGTCGGCACGCGTCCCTAAACTTCTGATTAATCTCTTGTTTTTCCATCAGTTTAGGTCAAAGAGCGGGTCTGGGTACATTTCTGTTGCTCGATGAAATGTTCAAAGCTACAGATAACATTTTATAACCTAACCCTGCTTTAAAGTTCCCTCCAACTCTTCCCTAATGTGCTGCAGACCTTTCTGAAAGCACATGGAGTCTTACTATCCCATCCTCATCTTTGCACCTTAACTTTATTGAACAGGGGTTGTGAGTTCTGTTGTGAAGTGAAACCCAAACGATTTTGATCTATTTCCTCTTGCTCCTTTATGTGTAATCCTCCAGATTAACCAAAAGTATGCCCAAAAGCACTTCTACAGACAAAAGCTTTTGTGCAAAGATATTTTTCTGTCCTGAGAAAGGATCTTTATGGACAAATTGCTTTCAGTAGCAGTTCTCTGATGTTCATTTTATATGAAAACGGGGTGAAATAGAAGACACGCGATTCTTAAAACACTCTGGGCAAAGTACTTTTTCCTTCAATCACTGCTGATCCCCATACTCCCATATCCTTTACGGCCACGGTGTGTGTTTGAGCGGAGGTGTATGGGCTGGCTGAAACCTTGCATTAAGCCATATTTTCCTAGGTCCTCATGAGCCCAAAGGGGATTACTCTCCACCAATTTAAAAGTTCAATTTGCAGCTCTCCATCAGATTCATTTTACATTATAGCCTGCAGGTCTTCCACCCAGCCTGGGGAAAAAGTAGTTAATAGTCCACTTCTAACCCATCATATTTTTAGTGCCAAAAAGACAGATGGGAACAGAAGTTTGGAAATTGAGGATAGGGGTAGTTGCCAACTTGCTATCAGGGTAAGAGAAATGTGATCCACTTGGATGAAGCTGTTTTTAAAGCTGATTTCAGAACTTATAATTGAGGTCAAACCCCACAGTGTATAAACATATGTAGCATTGAAAAATTATGCTGATATATATTATTTTGTTTAAAAAAGATATTTTGCCACACATTAGTCTTACCACCATGCATTTTTACTAAATACTAATATCTTAATTTTATTTTAAAATCATCTACACCTGAAGAACACCTGAACAAAACTTTGTGAAAACAATCTGCCTATTTTATTATTCTTTTTTTTTTATCCATCCGGCAATAATTGGCGAGATAAGAAACCAAGGCAAACTCATGCAACAACTGATGTGCCATGAGTCTGATAGTTTTTTAAATATTTAAAGAGAAAATAACCCATAAATATTTTTTTTGTACCTAAACAAAAAAAGGGTGCTATTTTAAGGCCACTATTCAAATTTTTCCATTTGTTTTTTAAAGCTGTGGTGCCCTCTATGGAATGACGATGTGACCACCGCATTTAATTTTTCTATCGGTTGAAATGGTACAACTCTAAATCGAACTTCAATGTTTGCTGAGTTGGATTTTGCTTGGAACTGGGAAGCTGAAGATATTTAATATCCAATGTGATGATAATTTTTTTTTTTTTAAACAAAGCTTTCTAGTGACACTCATTCTCCTTTTGTGAGGGTCAGGTTGATGTCTGATAGTGATCATGTTTAATTAGTAGTATAATAGACTACAGCAAAAATATCAGGTTTTAGAAAACCTGAATTGAGCATCACCAACTGCTTTAGTCAGCATTACTCATATCACATTCACTGTTACCTTCCTTGTTAAACCCCTTCTGCTCATCGCCACACCCAACCAGGTCTCCTGGCAAGGCCCACTTTGGTACCCTTTTTTAAAAGTTGGTTCAGGGGGTAGGGTTATACTTCAAGTTAAGTTAGACTTCAAGACAAAGTGTAACTTAACTCATTCTCTAAACTTAAGTTTCAAGCGGCATACACTACTGATAAACATACTTAGCCTGACTATTGCTAGCACATGTTAGCATGTGTTCTGTAGAAAAATATGCTCAACTTAGATTTAAAAAAGGCTGCTAACATTTCTGTACTGGGTATTTTTTGCTGACAGAGGTTGAAACACAAAACAAAGATCAAGCAGCTTTTCTTTACATTAAGCCTTACTGTTATCTGTTCAAAGTGTTGCTCTCTCTCACTCCTTCACAGCCTTAAAAGCTACAGAGATTATTGGAAATAAAAATATTTTTTTTATCCATTCCATAAACGCCTCACCAGTGTCTAAACTAGTAACTGAATGCTGCTCTGAAGAGGTTTCGTTTATAGATGAAGAATTTAATGACCCAAATTCTAAAGCTCAGAAACAGTAGTGGGGATATTACGATAGGGAGAGGAGAGAACAGCCTGCAGTTCAAACTGAGAATCCTGCTCTTTTTGTACCACCTAGGACCGCATCATACCAGAATATCAATGTGTGCTGTATTACAATCACTTAGATGCAATATCTGGCAGGATTTTAATAGTTAAAATGTTCCATATGCAGGTTTAGCTTTGGTTCATACTGTTAGGCACATGTGTTTATTTTTAGTGCATTAATTGATAAAGCTTACAAAGAGGGGTTTGAGCATGATGAGAAAGAAAGAAGAGATTAAGTAAAAGTTTAGTTATTAAATCAATACCGTCAACATTCTGCTGTATTATCCCAATGACATGTTTCCTGGTGTTGTGCAACCCCTAATACCGCCTTAATTATTTAACACAACTTTTGCACTTGAAGTAGAGAGCTGAAAAAACACATTGATATTGAAGTTTTAAGAAAGAAAAAAGAAAAACCTTTAGAATTATGTTACTGTGCATCCCGGATGTGAACCTGCAGAGTTGATCTCAGTTCAGTTTCCCCTCTTAAGAATTCCATCCAACAAAGCTTTCCTTTGTTATTTTTGGCATATGAGATATCCTCTGATTGCCAATTTATCTGAATAATATCTGCTTTGAAAATGTTGAAACACCTAAATGACTTGTTCTTTTTTTTGTGAAATACCATTTCTAAACTGGTAGATAACATATTTCCTCATATCTGTTTCAAAAGGACCACATATCCCGTGACTCTCTTTAATTTCCATTCATGATCGTCTCACTTTACCACTTAAATAGATAATAAATTCTTTTAACCTTTACATTATTTTTTTTCCTTCATCTTTTCCATTTATTCTCCTACAACTTTATTAGATCCTAGATGTTTATACATTATATATGCTGTGTTATAAAGAGCATTTCTTGTTTTGGTTTTCTTTCTTATTCAAATGAAAAAATCGTGTTTTTCTTGTCTTGCAGACGAACTCCGGAAATTAAGCTGGTCTGGAATCCCGCGACAAGTTCGGCCGATTGCCTGGAAGCTCCTCTCAGTGAGTTTCCTTTCAGCCACATATTTCCACACAGCCTCAACATAAGCATAAAGCATAAAAAATACTCACAAAACCAACTCCTTCATAGCACAATAAACCAGGAAGTTATACAGATTCATAAAAGCTCAACTGAGCACAGGCACATAAAAACACAGATAAACCCTCACAAACGATAAAAACACACTAAAATACACAAAGTTGCCACCATGCTTTTTTTTCTCCCTTATCCTTTCCTGTTTTGATTTATGAAGACCAAGAGCCCCCCTTCCCCCCCTTCCAAACTTCAATAGGGAAAATTAATTGTGAGGCACAAATAATTTATTCATGAGAGGCACGTTGTGTTTACTCATTAAGCCATTGTTGTGGTGTACAGCTCTTAGTCTGCTGAGGAAAGTCTGGCTTTCTGAACGCCACGACTCTCCCATTAATTACAGCACAATAGCTAATGTGCCGCAGAAAAGATGTCATTGAAGGTGCACGGATGTATGTGTGCCTGTTTGTGCTGCTTTTTCCGCCGGTTGGAGGTTACCGATTGTCTCTTTAGCTGAACGGCGCCTTTGTTCGGTGCTCAGCTCAGATGGAGGCTTATAAGCGCTGAACTATTGTTAGTGTATGGATATTGTATGTAGTTGTGTTGGATTCTGGCTGTAAAGCTAATGTACCATACATAAACCCTCATCAATGGTTTGTTCATGTTTTTGTTCCTTGTATATCTTAGTCTCTTGGTTTTTGTTTGAGTGTATTGTGTTGGGGTGCATTAGAGGAATAGGATCCATGACTCAATGATATATTGATTACTCTCATGGGTTTATTTTATGGTTTTGGCTGCTGAAATGGCCTTTTAAAAAACAAGCTGCATTATTAAAGCACTTGAAAATAGCATGGAAGCCTACAACTCTAGAGATATACGTGGGTTTAACTGCCTTCAGGGCTATTTTTTTGCTTAAGGAAGCCAGGAGTTGAACCATAGACTGTGTGATTTATGGATTCTCTACCTTGTAAAACTTTTATTGCTTTCAAGCCAAACCTTTGGATTGTTTTACCAAGCCGGATCAAAGAGAGAGGTTTAAAACAGAGTTTGGTTTCAAAACAACATCCAAAGGTTTGAAGATCTCACTGAGCCATGGTTAGTGCGTCGTCTGAAAGCGGAAAGAGAACTGCAAAGCTACGAGGACATGGCCATTTGCAAGCACAGTTTGCCCTCTCACAGTTAATGACTGGCATCATCAGAATTACAGAGAAAACTAGATAATATTGCCCTCTGCATTATTTATCAGTGATTGACGCCAATTCATGTTTCCCTTTTAAAAGATATAATGGAAAAAACAGCTAACAATGACCATACTTTGCCATCAGGACCAGTCAGCTGATTTATAAGCTAAAAAGACACTCATAGTAGTTTCACTTATTAATTTACTGTCTTTTTTTGACCCTAGAGTCAACTCAGATTTCTTTAGAGATATTTGGCAGATATCCTCTAAGCACTCATAAATTGAGCATACTGCTTTATGGGCTTTAGGCGTTAAGGTATCCTGCCTCCAGCTCGGTTTTAGGACCAGAGAAGCACTAAATAATACACTTACCCCTCTTGGGGGGGGAAAAAAAAAAAAAAAAAAAAAAAAAAGGCAAATAAAAAATCTCTAAACTTTATCTACTAAATATAACACAGGTATAAAATGTACATTTGGCTTGTATAAGGTTTTTATGATGGGATTGTAAAGCACACTGTTGTGCTTTAAGAACATTTGCTGCCTAAACAGTATTTCATACCTCGTAAAAACATAACTGACCAGTACACATAATAGACTAACAACCATCCCCCACCTGTTGCTGCACAGCGCTGGTGAGATGGCTCAAAGAATGGTACTATGCTTTTCCTCGTGGACAGATATGACAAAATAAGCCATTTGGAAATATTTTTATTTGACAAAAACTCCCCACAAAAATAACTACCTGTGTCGCTTGTTAATGGCGCTGTCACACCTTGATGATTTAGCCAGTGTATGCCGACGTTGAAAAAATTAGGCAAAAAACGCTGGCGTAAGTTGGATAAGTTAAGGGTAAGTTTTGTATGATTTATGGGCTCTCTGAAACACGCTGGCACTGGACATGCCAGCTTTTTCTCATACGTGGGCCATAAGTTGCAGATAAACGATGTGATCGTTAACACACGTTAATTGTAAGTTACTCATAAGTCGTAGTGTCTAGCTATCGCACCTGTATCATCCGTACAATAGGTTTAGCGTGAAGGTTAGTTTGAGGGATTCTCCGTGCGTTCAAGCCCACAACCAACAAAATTCCTAGCAGACATGATGCTGAATTGGCTGCGATTGAAAACCTTTCTTTCTTTTTCTTTTTTCGGAGGGTGGTAAACAGCAGCTAGGTTAATACTATGGATGTGGAGTTTAGAGAGATCTTCTTCTTGCGCTTTTTCTGCAGGCCGGGCGTCTCCGGGCGCATTGCTGCACCCCTCAGGACACTGGCTCGTGACATTTCATAGGCATTACGCTGCCGTGCGTTATGCATAAGTTAGCCTGTCAGATATACGTTTTGTACTTGTTATGAATATTGTATTTATATGACAAAAAGTGAAAAAATACATAGAAAGTTTACCGTATGCCAGCATTTCACAAGATTCCTGGATGTTGGCATAAGCTGGCTAAACCGTCAAGGTGTGACAACGCCATAAGGTAACTGCTTTTAAACTAAAGTCGTCTAGCCAAAGAGAAAAGTCAGCTAACCAACACTGAACCATCAGGTTTTTGTAGTTTCTGTTTAACACTTTAAAGAGTTAAGAGTTTGATTGAAAGGGTTTAAAGCTTTCACAGGCTGCTTTTTTGCTTAACTCAACATAAGAAATAAAAAAGCAGCTTTATTAGAACTATTATTACATGTTTGACCAAATTGTTAGATAATTTTATCAGCAGAAAGAATAATTTTTCTTCTGGATAAAAGAAAAAGAGGATTATTATATGGCGACTGTTTTTAAATGTTGCTCCAATGCTGTTACTTACTTTAATGAAGCAACTGTATTGGTCCTTTTCTTCAAAGGACCAGAATAAGTAGCATTAAACTTGGAAAAAAAGTGGATGATCAACCAACATGGTGTACGCAGAGAATATAACTTGTTTGTTTCACCCCAGTTAAATTAGATTATGTGCGTCACTGGCAGTTTGACAGCAGTTGTCAAAAGATAATCTATGGCATAGAAGTTAATGATAGTAATACATATTTTTGATCACTCAAAGTGCTACAAACCAAAAATAAAAGAAAACAATGAAACCAGCGAATGTTAGATTTAAAGCATTCGATATAAAGGTTGGAGGAGAGGATCTGCTTCAATTGGAGTTCAAGTATTTTGGTTTCTTGATCACGAGGGAGTTTTAGGACGGTGTTCCAGGCTCTTCACGAGGGTTTTTCTCCACCATCTCTCATTGTACCAATGGCGGTTTTGTAGCCGCAATAACATCAAATACGAGTTTAGATTCTTTTGCATATTAATACATTTGCATGGTTGGGTTTTTAGCATAAGATCTGCATTTTCATGAAGGCGCACAGAAAATGGTTTGCACTCACTGTTTGCTTGTTTTACACATGCAATTAAAATTGCATTGCTTTGTAGATCAGCTTTGCACGTTCTAACAATGTTATATATGGTCTAAGTTTGTAGTTTTTTTTTTTTTTTACATCATTTTGACTTTTATTTTTTTTGTCTATGTTGGGAGTCAAGTCCTCACCCTCTGTAGCTGTACTAGTACATAAACTTTTAAATTAACTTCTCTGCTATGGTGTCACTGAGCATTTTGCTTGATCGGCTTATTTCGTTTTTATTTTTCCAATCAGCAAGGCACGCTTTAATAACCCCTCTTTTTCACTTGACGACTCTATAAGTTTCCATAAGACGTATTCACTTTTACCTCCATGATCTACTGTCCTCACTGTTTTAAGCAGGTGAGGAAACAATAAAAAAAAGCCAGGGACAGTATTCTGCAACAAGAAAGCGAGGAGAGCAGTAATAACGGCTTTTGATAGCTTTTTTTTTTTCATTAGCCGAAAAAGCCTCTGTAAGGTCGCCTCAAGCCTCTCAAACACACGCACTTAAACTTCCTATTTTTCACAAATATCGGCTTATTTCATTTGTTTAAAGAGCACTTGGTGTCCAAGCCTAAAGGGGAAAGGAAGAAATTAAATGGCTTTGCCAAAAAAAAAAAAAAAAGAAGCAAAACAGAGGAAGAAAACCATGCCCTGTAGCAAAATGTACATTTGCTAATGGAGTGTGGCTGTTAAATGTGAAATGGTTGGAGAGGAAAGAAAAAACTAACTGGCTGCGGAAATATTGATAAGGCTAAAGGGCTTTATGAAATACATCAGAGAGAGGCAGCAGCTGGGACAGATTCCCAGATTATTATGTTAATAGTTACCATACAGCAGCATATAATTACATTCCCTCAGAGTAGAGAACAATGCATTTTCTTTTCATTTTGATGTACTTATGTCTGCCCTTCTTCTTCATTCATCTAGGATGCACCCTTTGAGATTTTGTACTTTTATTTTTTCATCACTTTGCGGCCAGATTTTATCACAAACCGACAAGAAATGGGGCATAAGTGTATTGTTGAATGCACGTTTATTTTTTTATCTAAAGAAAATATGAGCAGTATTGACTCAGCCCTATTGCGTCAATACCGCGACCTTTTTGCTTGAAGCCCTGCTGTTTTCTATAACAGCCTTTCACATCTGGACTAAAATGTCTTCCCATCCATCTGAGCATTTATACAGTCTCTGATTTAATCCATTTTACCTAAGCCATTTTGTCACTAAATATGTTTTTTCTTGTGAACCCGCTAAGTTTCAAGTCTTTTGCAGCATCTCCCACATAATGATGCTGCCACTATCTTCACCTTATGCTTTGCTCAGGGTTTTTTTTTTTTTTTTTTTTCATCAAATTTTTAAACAATTGGGCGATCTGTAGAAATGATTGGTATTTACTTACTTTAATA